TAACCTGTTAAAAAAGATAAGTTAAACGTAACCTGTTAAAAAGATAAGTTAAACGTAACCTGTTAAAAAAGATAAGTTAAACATAACCTGTTAAAAAAGATAAGTTAAACATAACCTGTTAAAAAAGATAAGTTAAACGTAACCTGTTAAAAAAGATAAGTTAAACGTAACCTGTTATAGTTAATAAGTTATACGTCGTAATCTATTGTACCTAATATTATTATGATTTTAATACTCATATAATCAAATAATTTTTCCCACTTTTTTCCCATTGATTGCATAATATTATTATGGATGAATGTATGGATGTTATCATATTATCATTATATTTTCATATTATCATTATAATTTGTTGTCATATTATTATCATATTATCATTGTATTTTTGAAATTTTATCATTTTTTAAAAATTCAATTTTTTTTTTATATCAGGATATAAAAGGATTACGATATGATTATAGCAGTATACTTTTATTGTTAAATTATCATCTCTTATCTTATCACTTCATGATACTATTGTGATACACTTTACTATTACAACATGCGACATTTTAACAACATTTGAGAAAACGTATGAAAATGACATTTATAAATGTGCAATACACACATATATGTATGTATTCGTTTTGCACTTTTAACATTTTATTCGTTTAATTTAATTTTCTTCCTTTCCAATAATGATTGCTTACATTTTATGAGTATTAGAAGAAATTAAAATTTTACAAAAATTAAACATTTAAAAATTTAATTTCCACAATTTATAATCATAAATAGAAGCAAAAAAAGAAAAAAAAATGAAAATTTATTTTCAAACTTATACACACATTTATTGTCATAAATAAAAGAAAGAGAGAAAAAAGAAAAATTAATTTCGCAAATTTTTACAATTGATAATCACGCACATATCTTATTTATTTAAGCATTTAGATTTGATTCTAAGTTTTTTTTTAAAAAAAAATTATTCCCAAAAAATTTTAATTTGGTTTTAAGTTTTTTTTCTTTTTAAACTATATATTCATTGATTTAAATACAAAGTAATAATTTTTGTGAAATGATGCAATCATTTCATTGCAGTAAATCAATGTTTACTTGTCAACTATACCATACGTCTATGTTTACGCGATATTTTTTTCTTCATTTAAAAAAAAAAATTTCAGAAAAAATTTATGGTACAGAAGAATAGCAAAATATAAGAGATACTTTAATTAGCTTTAGTAACTTTAAAAACTTTAACCTTAGTAATTTTACTTTAATTAATTAGCTTCATATGGAGTAAAAATATCGAAAGATGAAAACTTTTTTTTTCTAAATATAATTATATTATTATTTTGTTCATCACTTCCTTCGCTTCTCTTTCTTCCTCTCTTTTTTCATTTTAATCGAAATTATGCATAATATGTGTACATTTGTGTCATTTCATATATGGATTTGAAAATTGAAAGATTACTTGAATGATATTTGCTATTTATTTTAAATTAACCTAATGATAACAATGACCAAAGCTATTGACCATTGGTCATGTTTTATATTCAAATAGCTACTTTTCTTATTTCTTTAAGATGAAAATATTACATCAGTATAGCATCATGAAAGGACATATTTTCTGTTGCTTATTTACAGGTGACATTTGTTCGAGAAAATGAAGAGGGAAGTAATTTATCTTCCATAACAAAATATTACATCACTATTACCGGCCATCACAAGGATGATGCTTGCATGAATTTGTGAAAAGGTTACAAGATATAACTGATTGATATACATCCAATGATTACCTTCCATGTCAAACAGGTCACAACTGAAAGGTCATACGGATAGGTTAAATTATCTCTAGGCCCCATATTTGACCGAATTGAACTTGTTTAATCTTGTAAGGCCATCCATCTCAAAGAAGGATACTCTAACAAAACTTATGTCCTAAGGATTTCGTCTGTCATCGTTTAAGCTTGCTAGATAAGCTCTAACCTATGAACCTTAGGGTGAAGCTAATTCTGCGTATTGTGTTTCATAAAGAAATCACAAAATTTCTCAAATGACAGGAAGTTCAACGATCATTAACTAGCTAAAACTACTTCTCAATTGATCTAGCAGCACTTAATAAGCTGTAATGATCGTCATCATCATCATCATCGTCATCATCATCATCATCATCATCATCATCATCATCATCGTCGTAATAGGAGCTGTAGCACTAATGATGGTAATGATGGCGGCAATGGTGGATGTTAGAGGCATAGACATTTCCAAATCATAAATAACAATTGAAAAAGGGAAACAGAGAGAGAGAGGGAGGGAGAGAGAGAGGAGGAAGTGAGAAGAAGAAGAGANATATAG